CGGGGGCAGCGTCTCCAGTGGAAACCCGGGACTTGGTTACGCAGTCTCCCTGAAAAAGTCGGCTACCTGCTTCGTGTCTGGTCTGTTTTAGACAATAAAGGGTGGCTATGGTAGTTCAAGTTTTGCTCTGGCCTCTTGCCTCTGACAGTGAAACGTGGGGTCCCTTGAAATAAGGTGAAGGACTGAATTATATGTTTTACAAACATTTTAGATTATTTTTGTGATAGCAGGTAGGATACTCCTGATGGCATCTAATACCAGTTCATTATGGAACCTGTCATATTTGCTCTGTGCTGTTACCCATATGTAGTCTCTCCTTGAAGCCATGAATTCAGAAATAATGTACTGTGAGGGTCAATTCCACCACCTAATTAAAGATGACTTTTTTTTTTAAATTTAACTTTAATGGAATCTTTTCATATTTGTTGTGATCATTTTCACACAATTTCTTGTCTCTCTGATTAATGAGGAAGTGTGACTTTTACTAAATCAGAAGCATATTCCTCTTTGTTAGCATGAGCAGTTTTATCATTGCAAATTCTTTAAATGTGTGCTTCTGAATCAGTCTGTCTTTATGTTTAGACTAATATGCAAATAACATTTATACTTAGATCGTTCTACCGTTACTACCAGTTCATGCAGAATTCACATGTTCCCTCCAGCCCCGCCAATGATTTTGCTGGTCATAAGGTCTAAATCTCTTGGTTTTACTTGAAGTAGCATCAGTTCCCCTGCAAGCTCAGAGATTAGGCAGAACATATAAACTGAGATCTCTTGCATCAATCTGTCTTGGCATCAGTTTAGTAGATAGAAGCATTCAGAAACCTACCACCCTGCCATTATGCAAACAGAGCAATTCTTCCCCTCCTCCTTCTCCTCAGTTTTCCACAAGATGGTTCTGCTCAGAGTGTTCCTTTCATCATATGCATAGATGAAAGTTGCATTGCAAAACTTAGCAACGTGTTTACAGATGCTGTATTAATGTCTATGTATCTGTGCTTATGGTGTGTTTTAATAATAATTTTCTTTGTTCTCATGTACGTTCTTAATGCAAGGACTTTTTTTGTGTTCTAGATGGCATTGTCAGACTCAGTCACTACTTGTCTTTCTCCACCTGTGCATTATATGATTTGCAAACTTGGATTTGAGAAAAAAGACACCTATGATATTAATAATATTTTGTCTGAAAATGGTCAAGTATGTTGGCAAGCTGTTACAGAGCATGTGTGTTACCTTGAATCAGGTTGGTGTTTACCTGCTGTAGTAGTGATACATTTAAGACTGATGCAGAATCTCAGTATAGTTCATAGCAATCCTAGCTTACTTATAACATTTTATTACAGTACAGCATTAGCTTTGCTGCCGATTAGAGTACGTACAGTTCATATCTACAAGGAGCTTCAGATTTTTCATCCACGTTTGGTATTTGGTTATTGCTGGCTCCTAAGATTCGTGTAATCTGTGCTGCATAAGTAGCTGCTCCTTTGCTTTCTCACTCATCTTGGTTCCCAACTTCATATACCTGTTCTGCTTCTTTCCTACCTCATAATTGCTTTCTTCTGTGTTCTTTGTATTCCTTTTGCAGTAAATTTAAAACACTCTGGGGCCGTCAGTATTCCTACTGTTGCTTCTGGTTTTGTTTCCCCAACTTTAGCTTGTACAGAAGTACTGCTTGGTTTTCCTTCTGTATGTAGAACAGTTTATAATTGTTTTTTAACCAAAACAATGTATTTATGCTCTGGTGAATTCAACGAATTTCAATTTGCCAAATTGCGTCATGCAAGCTCTGTTAATAGTTTCCAGAGATGGTAAAAATGATACATGTTTCTGCCTCAAGCAATATCTTTTAGTAAATCAGCAGAAATAATTTTCCTATAAAAGTCTCCCACCAAAGAGGAGCAGTGATACCACTCTGTAAGGTACCACATCCATCTGTGTTCTTTAAATGGTGTAAGTGGTGCAACTTGACTGAGCCTGCACTAGCTTCCGGCTTGGTTATGTGGAATTTATGCACTCTAGTAGGTTCTTCCCATTTCAACAAAACCAGAACATAATAATCATCTTTACTTCCATATTTTCTTGCATTAAGGTGTTTTTTGTTTTTGGTTTTTTTTTTTTTTTTCAAGAAGGTACTCGATCTTATCTGGTTTCATGCTGCACTTTTACTTTTCTATATCTTATCTGTGTGGTCTTTTGGACAGTAAATTGTAGTGTATTAGTTATGCTAAAATAGTCTGGATAAAATTCTCTATGCTAAAAATGTACACAAGCTGTAGCAGGTTTTACTCCTTGTGAGTTTTAAAATATTGGACCTTCAGGAAGTTTGGTGCTCTAATCACCTTCTGTTTTTCAATTTAAGATCACAGTGTGGATTATATCAAAAGCATACGATCATTAGGACCTGTATGTGAATCTGTTAATTTGCACTTCAAATCTCTGACCAAGGAGCAATTTGTCATTCAGTATGCATTGTGGTTCCACTGGACAAACTATACAGAGGTATGGAAATGTCTGTTGACAACTTGTATTTTGGCATGTGAACCCTTTGCAGAAGTTTAATGTAAGAACACACGAGAGATATCAATGAACCAAAATGCTTAGAATTTGTAACTAATTGTCCTTGTCTGATATGTAGTTGCTTCTAATTTTCCTGACTTTGTAATTAGATTTTATATAAGTTATCACAAAGAGGACATGAGGTGCTTCAGACCTGTTCTAACCTAAGATGGTAGGATTTTGTTTTTCTAATGATCTATGCTTAATACCATGTTTTACTGTGTAAAGTTATTGTTGATAATTTTTATAGATGTAAGGCACTAGATGCATTGCAACTAAAAATACAAGAGGTGCTCTAGGGCAGTTTCTTTCCAGGCATCTACAGTTTTATCTCCTTGGCATGGTTTTCTTTCTACACTTGCATAGCAACTATCACAGAGGAATGTTTAGGTTTCTGTGTGCTTTTGACAATCTGTTTTT